CCACACTCGGGGCATTTGTTTCCGTCACTCTCCACCCCGTGAGTTGGTTGGGGCAGCTCTGCGTCAGGCTGTAGCTCAGCTATGCTTGGCTCCAGGCTCAGGCACGAGTGCAGGCCTGTCTACATGTCCACACCTTTTCTTGGGCCAGCAGCTCCTGGGGCGTGTTTTTTCTCACGGCCGGTCCTAGGAGCACAAGAAGTCCACTCTCACAGGCACATGAGAAACCGCTGACTGTCATCTCGCAAGTCAGATGGACAAGCTGACATCAGTGTGATGAGGAAGCGACCTGCACCCGCAGCGGGAGGGCACCACAAGGTCACATGGCAAAGGGGACAGACAGACCCAGAGCCCGGCGGCCACAGTCAGCATCTGTATCACCCTGACCAGCAGGCGCGGGCTTGGCTAAAGGATCAGGCTGGCAGAGAGCAGCGCTGAGGTCCTCTGGAGCCCTGCATGGGGCGCGTCAGCCCAGCAGGCTGCTGGTGACCCCCTCTTCCCTGCTGCCCCTTCCTTCCTCCCAGGGGCATCTTCACTCCTCCTCGCATACCTCCAGGCACCCTCCTTTCAACTCCCCCTGTTTCCCTGGCGCTGACTTTTGCAAAGCCAGTCAGGTCCTTGGCAAAATCCAACTGAGTCAAGATACAGCTGAAGCGGAAATCAGAATTCACTATGACAAATAAAACCCCTCAACTTTGAGCCACTTCCCGACTCGAACTTGACAACTCCCTAAAGCACACGGGGCTGGGAATGTTATCCGGGTTTCCACTGCACAGAGGCGGAACTCGAGGCCAGAGAAGTCACGCTGTTTGCTGAAAGGTCTCCTGGTAGCGGCCTGGTCAGAACTTGAACCCAGGTCTCCTCTGCCTGGGCCCTGGTAATGGGAGGGAGGGAAAGTCATCAAGTGCAAAATTCTGAAAACAACCCAGCCTTGGGAAAGTCAGACTCGGTTGGAAAAAATGTCTGGGGGAAAGGTGTGTCCCACCCAGATCGCCTACACACACTTCCCTCCGGAAGCCTGGTCTGCATGGCCATGCACACAGCCCGGCCTGCAGCAGCCCTGCGTGTGGACGTGGCCACAGACGTTCAGGCCACAAGAATTCAGTGTCCTTCTGAGTGCCTTCAGGAGAGCCGATTTCCATCTTAATTCTAGGAACTCTGTGAGTGTATTCATGCCCATCCCGGAGCACCGAGGAGACATGGTTTTCTTTGTCTCCAGGGAATTTTTCAAATGAGATGAGAAATGTAAACAAAGTCCTCTCTGCGGTCTTTTCAGCTACAAAGTGGTGTTGCTATGTTTTGGAGATGATAGTAAAAGAAGGACATTTTTTTTTTCTTTCAGTTAATGAATTGGCTGACATTATGATGTCAGAAGGACTGGAGCCAAAGGTGTTTTGCTAAAGGGAGTCTCCCCACAGCCCCCCCTCCAGACGACACAGCACCCCTGGAGCCCATAGTACTTGGGACTGTTCACGCTGTTTACACACCCAGCTCCCCTGACTGCCTCTTTGTGGGAACTTGTTTACATGAATTTATTTTGGGAAAATTCCATTAGACGGGACCAGGATTTCTTCACAAATCATTGCCTCTCGCTTGTGTCTTGATCAGATCTGGGCAGGCCACTCTTCTCGGAGCCCTGACTCCCCAAGCTTCTATTCACGGGTGGGAGGACTGGGGGAGGGGGAAGAGGAGGATGGGGAGGGGACATAAAAGATAACGAAGTGGTCCATGGGGACGGGCTTAGGAAACAGAGGTCTGTCTAGCGGGATCCGAAGCAACAGGACTGGAAGAACAGGGGGGTCCCCACTGGCTTGGGGCCTGCAGACACACAAAAACAGTTTTTCAGAGAGTAGACACACACGGACTTGCTCATCTCAGTTCCCTATGCTAAGGTGCTGGAGCACACAGACAAATTCACGATGCTTCCTGACTTCAAGAAACCCAGAATCTGAAGGAAGGAGGAGCAACAGAAAGAAACAGTTCAATAGAGTTGGGGTCTTGGGTCCTTGTCCCACCCAGGACAATGCCTCAGTCAATCACTGAGCACATTGATTCCCTCTGTGAAGCCATGCCTGCTATTCTGCTGAAGAAGAATTCCAAGTATCAGATGCACCCACTTTGTTTCCACTGGTTTGACCTTACGTTGGCTCACAACGTATACGGGCCACATAGCTGCCTCCTCAGTGCCAGAATAACCCTTCCTTGTTCCCTGAAGAAAGACTCACTGGGTCCCTACTAGATACAAGGCCTCCAGGATTCGGAGATGCTGAGACACCATCTTGGCTCTGCAGCAGCTCAGCCTGGGCCCTCGCAGAGAGGGGGCGGGGAAGGGGATGGGGACCACAGAGAAGTCATCAGGAGACATGTGCCCTCGGGTAAGGGAAGCTGGCTGCAGTTCCTGGGATCCTCCAAGGAGGGTTGGAAGGAAGAGGGCGGTTCTGGTAGTAACTCAGTACCACTTGTGGTGAAGGCACCCTAGACCACCATCAGGCTTAGCTTCCCTCCCCAGACAGACTTCTGACCTTGAAGACTGGTGAAGCTCATGGCCACAGAGCTCACCAAACAGCCCTGCAGGTCTGCCTCCCACGGGCTTCCTCATCTCTAAGAAGAAGGGGCTGCACTGTTGAGTTCTGCAGCTGCGCTAGCCACGGAGAACTCTGTGGGAATAAAATCTCAAGTGGCACTAACGGCCCATACGTCCTGAGCACTCGAGACATACCAGGTACAGTTCCAAGTGTTCGACGTGAATCAGGTCACTCAGTCCTCAGTACCCCTATAAGCTGGGTACTTACCAGAGAAAGCAAATCTGCAAAATATGAAGTGATTTGCTTGAAGACCCAACATATGAACCACATGTGTACACCATATATGCCTTTTGTGGATGACAGGGTAGGTGTCCCTGGTCCCTACAGACCTGACTGTAGACTCTCAAGGTCAGAAATAAAAAGACTCTCCTTTGCAGATGCAGATCCATCCCCCTCTAGGACCTTAAAAGCCACCAGCAGGGTCCTATGAGTGGAGAGGCGACGGGACAGGGTAGAGGAAGCCTTCATTTCAGGGTCAGAGCTCAGCTCACGGCCCAGCTCTGTCACTCGCTGACTCAGCAAGTTACTTGAGCAAATTCCTTAAACTTTCCAGACCTTGCTTCCCTCACAGGGGTTGCATGAACACTAAATGAAAACATGGATTCAAAGCACCCACGACAGCATCTACAGTAGATAGTAAAAAAAAAAAAAAATAGAGCAACGCTTGTTCTTCTCCAGATGGGCGGAAGGGGCAGCAAGGGGAATGCAAGACAGGCACCGCGGTGGGCTAATCCTTGAGCCCCAGCCTGGCTGTTTCAGGGATGGAGGCCATCCAAGGGCTGACCTTAGTGGACTTTCCATTCCGCCACCACTCTCAACACGTTCCCACGCACACTGCAAGGACTACTGGATGAATGAGAATGATCTAGTGAATGGATGGGTGAAGGGCGGATGCATGAGTGGATGGATGGACAGATGTTCCAGAATGCTTGGTTCTCTATAAAAAGCTCCACCACCCCCGAATACATGTCTCATTTCAACACATCACGGAACACGCCAGCCCTTGCCGCCTCCCTACACTTCCAAAACCTGTGGCTCACCTTGCCAGATATCTCCCTGTGGCTTCTCTGCTCAGCCCCCCTCCACAATAACGCACTGTTCCACTATCTGGTAGTTCTCGACCCTGGCCTTGCCTCGGAACGGCATCTTTTGGAGCCACCCTCCGCAGCCCGTGGGCCAACCCCAGCCCAGTGTTCAGTTATCCCCTCCACAACCCCGGTCTGTGCACAGAGGTTGTTGGGGAGGAGGTAATATGCAGGCATTCATTCCCTGGAGCCCCAGTCCCCGGAGACCTGGGCGGGAACAGTGGCTCCTGTGTATCTTGGCATTCCATGGCCAGACTCCAGCCATGCACTGAGGCTGTTTCATGTACAGGCTTAAGTGCTCAGTGCTCTGCCTACCGAGGGGCTGGGAGCAGGCCCAGCCTGAGGCTCTGTCGCCCCCCCTTGGCAACGGCTAAAGGTGAAGAGAGAGCTCAACCTCCAGCAGAGTACCTGGGGCCACAGCCCACCCGTCCTCCCGGGGGCCTGTAACAGCCCTCCAGCTGTAGTCAATCCAGGAGCAGCTGGCTTCCCCACGGTCAGGGTTGCCAGCCCAGCACACGGATGCCCCACCAACACCATCACAGCTCCTGCCCTCCTGTCCCAGAAAATTACCCAGTACTTGGAGCATCGTGCCCTTCCCCTTGCAGATGCAGTGATACCGAGAAAACCTCCGGTCCAGGTTCTTGGGGGGTCATGCGTGTCACCTTCCTAGTTTCAGACCTCGTGGAGAAGGTCGAAAAGTTGGCATGACTCCTCTCCCAAGCCGGGGGAGGAGACGAGGCTGTCTTGAGGATGTGGGGTGTCAACCAAATTCTGTGCTCTTTTTACATCCAAAGCCTCAATTTCAGGAAGGAATGGTCCATATTTCAGCAGGATTCCTGGTGGTAGGATGCTAATTAGCAATTCCAGGTTCAGAAGGAGGGGACCAGCTCTCCACCAGCCTGAGGGTCAAGTCATTCAGACTGACGCTGAGCTGGCTGGGGAGCGCAGTGTGGGAGCAGCTGGGTCTCCCCATAGAGCGCGTGGGGAGCATGTCCAGAGGCTGGCAGGGTCTGCCATGTGTGGCTCACTTCACCCTCCAGTCACTGGCCTCTCCTGCCCAGAGCTTCACCCGGGGAACCCATGAACCCTCGCAGTACGGCCTCCTCATGCACACCACCTCTCGCTATTGGTTCCAGAAAAAAAAAAAAAAATGCACTTTAGGGGACAGATTGTAGAGGCCCTGTCCTGGAATCAGGTCCATCAAGTGTGGCCTGGAGCCCATCTCTGGGATACGCACAGCAGGCCCCTTCTCCTGCAGAGACATCAACACCACGCCCTCCTCCTTCCTGGCAAGACCCTCCTCACCCATCTTAGAGAAGAACAAGGAGGGACTTCCCTGATGGTCCAGTGGTTAGGATTCTGCACTTCCACCACAGCGGGTACAGGTTCGATCCCTGGTCAGGGAACTAAGATCCTGCAAGTGTCATAGAGCAGACTTTAAAAAAAAAAAGGAAGAGGGAGGCATCCTGAAAGATGCATCAGGTACCTGAACCAGCCAGGCTAAAGGTTAGTTCCCAAAGAGACTCTTAGCTACTCAGGTCACCAGACAATTAAAATTTAAGGGGTGTTTTCCCTTTCCACCTTTCTGAAGAAGAGAAAGCTGCTAAGGAAAGCAAAATCCACTACAGAGAATTGCCTCTGAACTCTAATCTCACTGCATATGCGATTACAGTGTGAGGAAATTTATACCACGATGAAACCATACAAACTGCCACCCCTGAGGGTGGATGGGAGGGTTCAAGTCTTGGAGAAAGTACTCAAGAAATAACTGCAATAACCATTTTCATTCAAATGAAGTTTATCATCACCGTGCTTCAAACATCGAACAGATTAAAAGAGACCTCGGGGCTCTGATCTATCCCTCAGAAGCAGGACCTGGTGCTGTGGAGACCCGGCCTGACATCCACAGGCCACTCCATGAATTGTCACTCATGGCCGGGTGCAGAGTCCCTGACACGGAACGCAGGGGGGCTCTTGCCTGTCGGTCTGCAGGCCCAGCCTCCAAAAGTGACGGGAGACGGGACCATGGTGGGTGGGGGGGTAGGGGGTGGAACGCCAGGCTCTGCGCTGGGGAGGGTGCCCACTCCCATTCATGACTGCAGACCCTGCCCTGGGACAGGAGGTTGAGCTCTGCCCCAGGCCAGGGTCTTACTGAGAACAAGACTATTAGCAGAGAATCTGGGCCCCCCAGAGGAAGGAAGGCCAAATGCTGGGGAGGGTGCCCACTCCCATTCATGACTGCAGACCCTGCCCTGGGACAGGAGGTTGAGCTTTGCCCCAGGCCAGGGTCTTACTGAGAACAAGACTATTAGCAGAGAATCTGGGCCCCCCAGAGGAAGGAAGGCCAAGCAGAGGCCTTCAGCCTTCTGCCAGGATGAGAGAGAGAGGAGGTCACCAGGCCTCCACCACCTCCACCAAAGAGCTGAGTTCCGGGGTGCTGACAACGTCTTCTTCTTGATCCAACTGCTCATGAAAAAACTTTCAGGTTCCATGTTTAGCATTTATGCAGTTTTCTGCCCTTTGATTAAGAGTCTATTTTTTAAAGTCGCCAAAAACAAAATCAAACGTCCTCCCCCACAGTCTCTGGGTTCTTCACAGCCCCTTTTTACTGGGCAGAGAGGAGCACCCAGGCAGCTGTTGCTATAAATTGCCCAGTTTAATCCAAGTCAGTGAAAGATTGGGTCAGGCCGGGAATGGCCCCCAAGGGATATTTCACTCTTTCACCACAAAACTCAGAGTCTGACCTTCATTTGTTCTTCCATTCACCTCACAAGCTTATGTTCACCACACATTTCCACTCCGTGTCCCCTAAACTGGACGTCTCACACCTACCCTGAAACCTGTCTGACCTCCTGTGAGTCACCATTTCCCCAGAGACAGACTCTAGAAGCTGAGCTAAGGGCTCCAGTTCCCCTCAGCTGTTTGAGGTTTACAACAACTGACGAATTACACTGTAATTTCTGCTCTGGAAAAGTCGCCAGACTCCATGCCTCCCTTTCCCTGAGCTACGCCTGCCTCTTCCGGCCCCCGAACCCTGACAACAGCCTCCTCACTGTGTCATGGTCTGCAGCCCCCACGCCTTCCAGATCAACCTCCCCACACCCATCAGAGACCGTGCATGCATTCATCACCAAAGGCTTTGGACGGAGCACTACTACCTCTGAGAAAAGGCCACACAAGCCCCAGCTTGGCCAGCCAGGCCCTCCATGACCCAGACCCACCTCCCCGGCCTCCCTGCTTTCAGCCCACCGACGGCAGGGGACCACTCTCCAGTCCCCACGTTCACCCGGCACATTTTTACTTCCATGACTCCACTCACGTGACCGTCTCAATCCCACATACTCTCCCCATTTCCCGATCCTTCGATGTCCCCCTTGGCCTCCAGGACTCTGCACAGAAGTGAACTCCTCTGAGAAGTCCGCCCTAACTCCCTGCTCAGATTTCAGCACCTCTTTACTTGGCAGCTACTACACGCAGCCCATACTTGACTGCCATTCTGCCTTATCGCGTGGAGACCATCATCAGAAAAACCAACCGGCTCCCCCTTCAGAAAGTTTCCAGAATCTGGGCACCTCCCTCCACCTCCAGGGCTGTGCCTCCTGCAAAGCGTCACATCTCTTGCTGGGATTCTTTGCCCCTAACTGTTCTTCCTGCTTCCATTCGGGCTTCCCAATAAGATCTGTTGTTTACAGAGTGACACTCTGAATATGTCTCAGGCTACACTATGCTTTGGCTCAAAGCCTTCCTCGGAATGAAGTCTAAAGTCTCCACCATGGCCTGGAAGTTTCTGTGGGATAGGCCCAGTCACCTCTTTTCAAGGTCCTGATTTTTTTTTTTCAACTATCTATAAATGTAAAAACCATGCTGAGCTCATGTACTACATATCAGGTGGCAAGCCAGATCTGCCCATGGGCTGTGGCGCGCTTACCGCCAACTTCAAGGCTGAACCGGCATCCTCCAGGTGAAGATGGAAGAATGGGTTGGGGATAAGCGTCAAAGTGACCCTGCAGAGTTAACAGCCTTTGAAAAGTCTTAAAAACACGTAAATTATATGGAAAGAAGCTTAGCGTGAGAGTCAGGACTAGGGTGGGGTCTAGACTGAAAGAGGAGAGATCAGAGGGTTCAAATGAGGAAGGACCTTTCAAATTACAAATTTCATATACGCTTTGAATTGTGTGAAGACGTGATCAGACCCTGATGCTGGGAAGGATTGGGGGCAGGAGGAGAAGGGGACGACAGAGGATGAGCTCGCTGGATGGCATCACCGACTCAATGGACATGGGTTTGAACAAACTCCAGGAGACGGTGAAGGACAGGGAAGCCCTGCATGCTGCAGCCCATGGGGTTGAAGAGAGTTGGACTGAACTCGGTGACTGAAGAAGGACAATGATCAATCAGGCTTGCAGTTTAGGAACATGTCTCAGGAAGGAAGAGAAGCGGGGGATGGGCTGCCTGGCTGAAAGACAGCGGCTTTAGTGCAGGCAGGATCGTTCTGGGTCCTGCTCACAAGCCTGCAAAGCTGCTGTTAAATATTCAGGCATTTTTGTAAGTCAGCAGTTGGACACATTCGTTATTTTTAAGTTAGATTTTATAGAGTTACAATGAAATAAATTACTTTTAAAACCAAGGTAGTCAGTACTCAAAACTTATCACTCTATCATTATTTTATGACGTTTTACTATTATCTTCACTCTTGCGGTTATTTACGCCTATGTATTTATAGGGAATGCTACATAATGACGAGCTACTGAGCATCTCTGCCCAACTGTACCCTCAGGGACCTGACGCGGGTAGCTTGAAAGTAGCTCTCTCTGTGGGAATACTTACACCCCAGAAATGGACCAGAGCTACAAATCGGGACACCCCCCCCCCGGCCCCACCCAGCTGGTAAACCTTAACCAGCGCCCTGCCTGGTCTAGGGCGGCGATGGGTACCGGCGTTAGGAAGGATGGGGCAGGGCAGGGGGACGGCTGGGATGAAATCACATCAACCGAGTAGCTCTGGAGAGATGAGGGAGAAGGACCAGGAGGAGACGCTTCCAAACGCTTCCACGTCAAAGAAGGGTCTCTTAATAAAGAGGCCGCGGTGGGAACCCAAGCCCCGGCTCTACACTCTCCCTAACGTCCAGGGTCCGCAGCCGCAGGGCGAGCGCTGTGCGGCGGGGAGAAGCGAGCGCTCGCCCAGGGTCCCCGAGGGGGTCGGCCCGGCCCCTGCGCCCGCGCTTCCATCTCATAGGCAGCTGCGCGCAGGGCTGTTTGTGCGCCCGCAGCGCCCGGCCAGCGGCCCGGCGTGTATTTATAAACACACAGCCCCACAGACAGGTCTCACCGACATCATTTCGCACGGCCCCGCGGTGCCGGCGGCCTGCTTCCCGACCTCCCGTCGGGGGCGGCCGCCGGTAATCGGCGCTGATGGGAACCGCGCTCTCCCGGCCAGAGGCACGCAGCCCGCCGCCCACAGCCAGCGCCGGCCTCCCTCCCGGGGCCCGGGGGCCGGGCCTTCCTGGTAGAGCTCTGGGGAGAGGCGGCTGTAAACACGCCGCGGGCTGACCCGCGTGTGGAAATGACTCGCGGTCGGGCCTGGCGCCCGGCCACAGGCCTGCGGCCTCGCTGCCGCCAAGTATCTTTAGCAGGAGCCTTGGAACCGCGGGCCCCCCGCCGCCTCCCCCAGCCCCGCCCTGCCCTGCCGGCTCACACCCCGAGGCCGGCTGAGCCTCACCCTCGAGCGCGCGAGGAGGGCCTGGCTCCATCGCCCCCCACCCCCCGTGTCCTCTGACAGTAATCATGACAGCGCAATCACAGCTTCCGCTGCCTGGACGGGGCGCTTCGTCCCCCGGATCTGGTTGCATTTACACGGAAGCCGCGGAGAAAGGAAGGCTGCGGAGGGCAAGGTCAGCGGGGGCGTCCGGGGCTCTGGGCACACCAGAGACTCACACCATCGGGCGGGAAGGGCCCCTGTGCCCGAGGAAGAGAAGATAGAGCCGGGGCAGTGATGGCAAGACTGAGAGAAGAGGGTCGTGGGCCTAGAACGGAAATCCACAGGTGCACTTCCGGCGTCAGGGAGCCGTCCTGAGAGGAGAGCAGGCCTCCAGACCAGAGGCAAAGGCAGGAGGGGTCCCTGAAGACTGAGTCAGGCGGAGGACATGCAGGAGCCCTGGGAGGCTGCACAGGCGCCAGGCCCGGCTTCCTAAGGACCCTGGAAGGCCTCCTTGAAGACACGGTCCAAACAGGACCACCCCGAGGCCATCTTTCGAGAATGCCAAGCCTTCATTTCTTCATCAAACTTCCAGGCCGCCCTTGGGCTGGGGAACTCACCACTGTGGGAAGGCGGCAGGTGAAGGAGACAGTGAAACTTCTCTTGGTCTCCATGACCGGCGGCCAGGGCGCCTCTGGCCTCTGTTTTCTCT